GGAGTGCCAATACTTTGTCACATGCATTGCAACAAAAGGATCAAGATATCTTGAATGCCATGTCATGTGTGAAGTCAACACGGAATGATCTAAAACAACTAAGAGATGATGGATGGGAATCACTTCTAGAGAAGGTATATTCATTCTGTGAAGAACATGACATTCCTAAGCTAAACATGCATGATGAATATATCGATCGGCATAAGCCAAGAAAAAGAACCAATATTACAAATCTTCATCATTACCAAATAGAGTGCCTTAATTCTGTTATTGATTGGAGTTCGATGATAGATTCAATGAAGTGAATTCTGCATTGCTTATCCACATGGCTTTTTTCAACCCAAAAAACTCCTTCGCTGCTTTTAACTTGGATAGTTTATTGAAGCTAGCTGAGTTTTATCCTAATGATTTCAATTCAACACAATTGATGGATCTTGGTTATGAACTTCGGATTTTCATAGACAATGTCCGAGCGGACCAAAGATTTGCCAATTTGGATGGCATTGCCGATCTTGCTAAAGTGTTGGTGGAAACTAAAAAGCATCTTGCATTTCCTTTGGTGTATCAACTTCTCAAGTTGGTGCTAATTCTGCCAGTTGCCACAGCGTCCGTCGAGAGATGTTTTTCAGCAATGAATATTGTTAAGAGTGTTTTGCGGAACAAAATGGGTGACGAGTTCATGAGTGATTGCTTGATTTGCTATGTGGAGAAAGACATATTTTCTACAATAACGAATGATGATGTGATTGATCTGTTTAAGAAGATGAAAGATCGAGAAGGGAAGTTATGAAATGTGAGTCTCATATCACTTTATTTTCTCCTTAACGATACTTATTTTCTGCATTATTTGTTTCTTACTATTGTTGTGAATTTAATATGTTATTTTGTTCATCCTTTCCAGAAAGTTAAATATGAAACATTCGAAGTCATCCTTTTGCATATTATTTATGGAATATGTAAAGAAGTGTTATTTTATGCTTTGCTCAGCCAATACTCGCTACTCGGTATGCTTTTTTTGATGTAATAATAATATCACCTACATATTGTTGCTTTTTATATCGCTCTTGGCCATTATCAATGTTGTTTCACCACTATAATTTGTGCTAGAGGCTTAGCGTGGGCAGTGGTTGACACCAGTGCCCTTTTTTCTAGCTTCGTCCCTGCCTGCATCTACTACTATTACTCCACAAATCGACCGACTCCTGCCTGCATCTAGAGTATTAAGTTCATAAGAATAGAGTAACGCATTAAGGAAGATGACATGATGTAGAGGGATAAACTCAAGCAATAAGATATAAACCCCATCTTGTTATCCTCGATGGCAACAATACAATACGTGCCTTGCAACCCTTTCTGTCACTGGGTAAGGACACCGCAAGATTGAACCCAAAGCTAAGCACTTCTGCCATGGCAAGAAAGATCAATCTAGTAGGCCAAACCAAACTGATAATTCGAAGAGACTTGCAAAGATAACTCAATGATACATAAAAGAATTCAGAGAAGATTCAAATATTATTCATAGATAAACTTGATCATAAACCCACAATTCATCGGATCTCGACAAACACACCGCAAAAAGAGTTTACATCGAATAGATCTCCACAAGAGAGGAGGAGAACATTGTATTGAGATCCAAAAAGAGAGAAGAAGCCAACTGGCTAATAACTATGGACCCGTAGGTCTGTGGTAAACTACTCACAACTCATCGGAGGGGCAAGGATGTTGATGTAGAGGCCCTCCGTGGTCGATTCCCCCTCCGACAGAACGTCGGCGAAGGCTCTAAGATGAGATCTCGCGGATACACAAGGTTACGGTGGTGGAAATTGTATTTCGTCTGCCCCCTGAATGTTTTCGGGGTACGTAGGTATATATAGGAGGAAGAAGTATGTCGGTGGCCGCCCGAGGGGCCCACGAGACAGGGGGCGCGCCCTATAGGGGGGGGCGCCCTCCTATCTCGTGGGAGCCTCGGCTGCTTCTTGACTTGCACTCCAAGTCCTCTGGATCATGTTCGTCCCAAAAATCATGCTCCCCAAGGTTTCGTTCCGTTTGGACTCTGTTTGATATTCCTTTTCTTTGAAATACTGAAATAGGCAAAAAAAAACAGCAATATGGGCTGGGCCTCCGTTTAGTAGGTTAGTCCCAAAAATGATATAAATGTGTAAAATAAAGCCCATAAACATCCAAAAGAGGTAATATAATAGCATGGAACAATAAAAAATTATAGATACGTTGGAGACGTATCACTTATCCTCAGATGTAGCCGACCTATGTGCAACCCTAGGCACCCTCGACATCTATATAAGCCGAGGGGCGTAGTCCCTAGAGGCAGATAGATTCATATACAAACGATCTCGAGGTAGATCAAAATGTACTTTGTACTCCATCCACAATCAATACAAACAAAGAAGGACAAAGGGTTTTACCTCTTCGAGAGGGCCTGAACCTGGGTAAACATCAAGCCCCCTCCCTGTCCTATTACCATCGGGCCAAGGCTACCAGCTCGGGGCGCCCTATCCGAGATCTGCCAGATTTGACTCTGTCAAGCTGGAGTAGATCCAGCCACTCAGGGGTCCCTGATTGTGGGCCGAGGGTGCGCCTGAGGCTACCTCATCTGCCACACACTACCCTCACCCTGCGCCTGCCACCCGTGCGTCTGTCGTGGGGCTTGGTGTTTGTTTCACCGGGTACAAGCCATGAACAACATGTTTTATAAATAATCCACAAAGGGGCAAAAATCAAATCCATGAGTTCAAATGTGACACTTACTGTGTGCGATACCCTTACCTACAATGTTGTTCCGCTGAACAAATAGATGTCTGGAAAGAGGACCAGCTAGGGCAACCCAACAACCTTGCCAGCATGAAACCCCACAACACACCCCACCACAAATGGCATCAACCATAAGAATCGGCCCCTCCCACTGGGAACCACATGATCACAATTGGGCTTCATTTAGTGTTGGCTCTGCCACATTTGCAGAGGTCGTACCTATTTTCCATCCCCATTTATCTATGACCTCACCTGGAAGTACCACGGCAAATGACCTTAACCATCAGAACCGGACGCTCCCACCCGGAACCGCATTAGCAGAAGGAAACCAAGCAAACAAACTAGAGGCAGGCATTCCAAAACACATCAGTTGGGCAAAACTATTGGGAAACGTAATAGAAAACAAACAAAATCGCCCTACGAATCTACTTCCCGGGATCACTATGAAGATACATGTGACGTTAGATTTAGATTAGATTGCTCACCAACGTAACACAGCAGAGAGGAGAGTTGATGAAGCGTGTTGACGCAGATTCCCGCAGCTAGATTATACCTCCCAACACATGTGTGTGTCTTCATGTGGATGAGTGTACGCGCGCATATATTAGCACCTGTGTCTATACTGCGTTCTAAAAAAACACATGCATTTGTGAAAATAGTGTTTTATCATAAAGTACTTCTGTAAATTTTAGAAAAGAAACATGAAACAATAAAAAGTAAAAGCAAACAAAGAATGGAAAAGGGAAACAGAAAAAAAATATTGAAACAAAAAACTGAGAAGAAAAACATAAAAGACCACCAAGCCGCACATGAATGAAGCAAAAATCACTATATTGGGCTAACCCACATCAGGTTCCGGTGTAGGTGAACGGTCCATCTATCTTGCAAAGAGCAAGATACTCCCTCTGTTCCAAAATATGTGCCGTGGTTTTAATCCAAAACAAGGACACTTATTTTGGAACGGATAGAGTAAATCAGTAGTGTCATGTACATATCCGAGCTAAAATATCACCATTTTCTAGGATAAGGGCCTATAGGAAGAAATTATCCATTTTTACCCATTTGTGATGTTTGCTCGAATGGCAAATATTTCGGTACCAGCCAAAACGACTAAAATTTTCTAGATTTTGTTCTGGTAAAATGTTAGGAATGACTAGGAGCACTTCTTAGCAAGCCAATTCAGAGTGGCGAAGAAACTTTTTTTTTTGCGGAAAAAACTTTCAATCTATTCATCTTCAATCATGATAGTACAACGAACACTATAAATAATAAAAATTACATCCAAATCCGTAGACTATCTAGCGATGAATACAAGCACTGAAGCGAGCAGAAGGCGCAGAGTGGTGGAGAAACTTATCACGAGAAATCAGCTTGTCTAAGGTGAAGACTAGAGTTGCAAATTAATGCACATAATGTGCTCTTCCGGCAAGCTAGATAGATCAGCATCAGCTGCTTCCACGAGGGCGGTAGTACCAATGAGGTCACTACGTACTCTAGCGATACGATGGCATAAGCAACCAGGCGCATCTTATTATCACAAAGCATTAGCATATGTAGAACAGATGATTATAGGCAGAAAGAGGCAAAGCAATTCCGGAAAATACAGATAGACTAGCTGAACAAGTTGAGGATTTTTTTTCCTTTTTTTTTCAGGGGAACAAGTTGAGGATCTCAGAATTGTTATTTGTGTCCTCGAAGCCCAGTAGATAGTTCGGCCGGCCCAATTTAGTACTTGCTCGCCGCAGCCCTGACGACTCCAACACGCCCTAATATATACTCGTTCTCATCAGCACCAAGATGTCCAGATAACGATGGAGAAGACGACGTCGGCGGAGGATCTGACGCAGCAACTACCCGACGACCTGCTCGCCAATGTCTTCCGCCGCCTCCGGACGACGTCGCCCAGCCTCGCCGCGTCCCGGTGTGTCTGCAAGGCGTGGCGTGCCATCATCGACGGCTGCCGGCTGCTCGAGGACCTCCCGTCCTACTCGTTGACCGGAATATTCTTCCACCTGAACGGCGAGTCGCTCCCCAGATACTTCTCGCCCGCCTCATCGTGCGTGAACATTGACCCTGTGGACTACGTGGATACCGGCTCCGATGCCATTAAATGCTTGGCAATCACGCAGCACTGCAACGGCCTTCTCCTGCTCAACGACGACGACTGTAAAGACTCATGGGTGCTTAACCCCGCCACACGGCAGTGGACGCACCTGCCTACTCCTCCACCCATGTGCACACCGGGCATGGAGGACGTTGATCATGTTGATCGTTACATGGACTTCCATGATCAATACCTCGTGTTTGATCCCGCGGTGTCACCGCACTATGAGGTCTTCTTAAGCAAGTATGTTCCCTTTATTCCGTTGTCAGATATTAACAAATTGGTGGGTCCTCGTATACAAGAGAGAGAATGGCCACCGTCGATTTTTGTTTTGCTTGTCTTCTCATCGGGGACAAAGAAGTGGGAGGAGAGATCTTTTGTTCGTGAAGGGGAGGCCGCGGGGACCATTCGCAACATGTTACACCTTCCTCCGTCCAACCACTGGTATGCGGCATACTGGCAGGGATCACTTTACTACCACCAACATGGCGTGTTCATGAGGTAACTGGCTACTGGCATCTTAAATACCAATTTATATATTTTACGCTTTTGTGTAGCTAGTTATTGTTCTAATTTTGTCCATGGTTTATCTTTGGCAGAGTAAGCTTGTCAACCGATAATTACCAAGTAATTAAGCCGCCGAAAGGTTCCCAGAAATACCTTTCAGGCCATTATTTAGGAAAATCTAAGAATGGTGTATATTGTGCATTACTTTATGGCCCCAGACTTCGGATTTGGTACCTCGTCGAAACAGGTGATCAGATGAAATGGGTCTTAAAGTGCAGCATCAATGATAGTTATAACGACAAGACTCTACTTGGATTTCATCCAAACAAAGAGACCGTCTTTGTCTTCCAAAGACCCTTCAAAAGAGTAATGGCTTATCATTTCAATAGCTCCAAGACCGAAGACTTGGGCCCCTTAACTGCAAACCGCGTATGGCTGTCTTTCCCATACACATTGTGTTTGATGGGAGAGCTTTCAAGCAACAAGCAGTAGGTTAGTTAAGGTACGGGGGATTACCTGAACGTTTTACTTTTTCATGAACTTTAGGCGCAAGAGTGATCGATTGATATAGAGAAATGAACATCTTATGAATAATTCATTTTTTTATTTTATTTATTATGGTACGAAGCAACAAGCATTAGCTTAGTTATATATGGCTTATTTATGGCGAGGAAACAGAGACATTGATCGGCCAAGTCCTAGATACAAAAGGTGTAGAAATTCGTTATCTTACAGTTTTGTATGGTGGTCCTTGAATGGAATTGGTTTTAAAAATTGTTCATTTCTCGGTTTTTATCAGCGCATTACTCTGACGATCGTAGGAATATATTATAGAGGAGGAAATATATAGTTATGCCACGTCTGTGTGGGTAACACTCGAGTGATATTTGATTAACCAAGATTTAAGAGAATATATGCAACAGGAAGGTGCCATAGCATTCCTACACCTGTTAGAGAAAAAATTCTTCAACCACAAGAATACGAAAAGAAATTAAGTGAAATAGCTTCATATGGGCGAGTGACCCACGAGCAGGCCCAACTGCCACCTCAAGCACCCCCACCGTGCCGACGTCCCTCATTGTCATTGCAACCTGCACGTGCCGCAATGGTGGCGGCACACACCCCAAAGAGGGGCGGGAAGGTGAACCAACCTTTGGGGTTGGATGGTTAGAGTGACTGTGGTATCCTCAGCCCACCAGGGTCCAAATCCTGGTGCTCGCATTTATTTTTGTATTTATTTCAAGATCTCCGGCGATGCGTATTTAGTGGGAGGAGACGTTCCCGTCGACAAGGAGGCGCTTATGATGACTTCGTAAATCTCAAGATGATATGCCGGCTCAGTCTTTCGGAGGTGCTCATAGGGGTAGGGTGTGCGTGTGTGCGTTCATAAGGGTGAGTGTATGCGGGTGTATATGAACACTTGTGTCTATACTGATGTTAAAAATAAAGAAGGGCGGGAAGTTCCCAGGCCACAAGATGTTGCCTAGTGACGGTGTGGTGGTTGCTCTAGACATGGCGACTTGACGCCCTTGCCAAGGTGGTGGAGGTTGGTTCAGACAACACGGCGGTCCTTTCCTGGGCGACTATGTACCAGGGGCAAGGTGACCTGGTGGCGTGAGCCTCGCGGTGGCGATTGTTGCCTCTTACAGTGCTGTTGTACGGCTATGGGTTCGTGAGAGAAGTGGCATGGGCAGCGTACTTTTCTGTGCTGAGATTGGCCTTGGCGTTGTTGTGTTGCGCGGTATGGGTTGGTCAGGTGATAATCACTCCCGCCGGCCCTTATCGTAGTGGTACTGGATGACGATCTCCTATGCATTAGAATAACTCCGAGGCACTTCATCGATCATCTGAGGATCAAGCAACTACACCAGCACGACACCGAGATTTATTAACGAGATTCACTGATATGGCTACATTTCTATGGTCTGACTACGGGTGCTCCTCCCAGTGACACCGTCACAATACCGCACACCGGTCACTCGGGCGCCGGCACACGCCGTCGGCTCCCCCTTGCGCGCCTGTGCTATTATGTTGGTATAGGTTACATCGTGTGTCTAGCCCCGCTATATATGAGAGGCCTAGGATACAACTGGCCTACTAGGACACGACTCCATATCCTATATAAACAAAATACAACTACAAGTCCAACTGTAACCTAACTCGTACATATATTCGACACAACTCTAACAAACTCCACCTTGGCGAATATTCGCCACCACCTTGAATTCGTTCATGCGTCAAATTTCCATGTACATTGGACTTGAGCCTATCCCATGAGCACCGCTGCTACTCCAAAGACTCCACATAACTCCACCTACAACTTGTAGTCCCTCCTTTTCTTGGCCACAGTCAACACTCAAGCAAAATTAAGTTCCTTGTTACTCTAGTTTGTGCTCCCAACTTCCAGAGTATCAGTCCAACGCCATCACACACTGATCATTGACCTGCATGAAAGTGAACAACTCACATATTGGATGCCACACATAAGAGTTACCTGAACTCAACATCACCGCTCCTTTCTTGACCGCCTGTCTGAAACTTCTGTTCAGAAACGGAGAGCATGCCAAGTTGATGCGATGGCACAGTGAGGACCGTAAGAAAGACGAGAAGTTGAGAGCACCCGCTGACGGGTTGCAGTGGAGAAAAATCGAGAGAAAGTACTGGGATGAGTTTGCAAGTGAGCCAAGGAAAGTATGGTTTGCTTTAAGCTCGGATGGCATTAATCCTTTCAGGGAGCAGAGCAGCAATCACAGCACCTGGCCCGTGACTCTATGTATGTATAACCTTCCTCCTTGGATGTGCATGAAGCGGAAGTTCATTATGATGCCAGTTCTCATCCAAGGCCCTAAGCAACCCGGCAACGACATTGATGTGTACCTAAGGCCATTAGTTGAAGAACTTTTACAGCTGTGGAATGGAAACGGTGTACATACGTGGGATGAGCACAAACAGGAGGAATTTAACCTAAAGGCGTTGCTGTTCGTGACCATCAACGATTGGCCTGCTCTCAGTAACCTTTCAGGACAGACAAACAAGGGATACCACGCATGCACGCACTGTTTACTTGACACCGATAGTATATACCTGGCAAGCTGCAGGAAGAATGTGTACCTGGGCCATCGTCGATTTCTTCCGACCAACCATCAATGTCGAAAGAAAGGCAAGCATTTCAAAGGCGAGGCAGATCACCGAAAGAAGCCCGCCATGCGTACCAGTGATCACGTACATGCTATGGTCAATGATTTACACGTAATCTTTGGAAAGGGTCCCGGCGGACTAGCTGTTCCGAGTGACGCTGGGGGACACGCACCCATGTGGAAGAAGAAATCTATATTTTGGGACCTACCCTACTGGAAAGACCTAGAGGTCCGCTCTTCGATCGACGTGATGCACGTGACGAAGAACCTTTGCGTGAACCTGCTAAGCTTCTTGGGCGTGTATGGAAAGACAAAAGATACAGCTGAGGCACGGGAGAACCTACAACGTTTGCACGAAAAAGACGGCATGCCTCCAAAGCAGTATGAAGGTCCTGCCAGCTATGCTCTTACCAAAGAAGAGAAGGAAATCTTCTTTAAATGCTTGCTTGGTATGAAGGTCCCGACTGGCTTCTCGTCGAATATAAAAGGAATAATAAATATGGCAGAGAAAAAGTTTCAGAACCTAAAGTCTCGTGACTGCCACGTGATTATGACGCAGCTGCTTCCGGTTGCATTGAGGGGGCTTCTACCGGAAAACGTCCGATTAGCCATTGTGAAGTTATGTGCATTCCTCAATGCAATCTCTCAGAAGGTGATCGATCCAGAAATCATACCAAGGCTAAGGAGTGATGTGGTGCAATGTCTTGTCAGTTTCGAGCTGGTGTTCCCACCATCCTTCTTCAATATCATGACGCACGTCCTAGTTCATCTAGTTGACGAGATTGTCATTCTGGGCCCCGTATTTCTACACAATATGTACCCCTTTGAGAGGTTCATGGGAGTCCTAAAGAAATATGTCCGTAACCGCGCTAGGCCAGAAGGAAGCATCTCCATGGGCCATCAAACAGAGGATGTCATCGGGTTTTGTGTTGACTTCATTCCTGGCCTTAAGAAGATAGGTCTCCCTAAATCGCGGTATGAGGGGAGACTGACTGGAAGACTCAATAATATGCAGGGACGAATATTCTTGGTCTCAAGCACACTACACAGTTCTACAGAACTCTACCTTGGTGACCCCGTATGTCGATGAACACAATAACAGTCTGCGCTCCAAACACCCGGAGCAGCGAGACGACTAGATTACATGTGAACACATCAGAACTTTCAGCAGTTGGTTGGAAGCACGTATCAAAGGTGACAACACTGTTTGTGATGAGCTGTACTTGTTGTCCAGGGGACCATCTTTGACTGTATTGATTTGGAAAGGATACGAGATAAACGGGAATACATTTTACACGATTGACCAAGATCAAAAGAGCACCAACCAAAACGGCGGTGTCCGCTTTGATGCAACAACCGAGAGGGTAAAGGACACATATTATGGTTACATAGTGGACATATGGGAACTTGACTACGGACATGATTTTAAGGTCTCTTTGTTTAAGTGCAAATGGGTCAATCTATCAGGAGGCGGGGTACAGGTAGACCCACAGTACGGAATGACAACAGTGGATCTGAAAAATCTTGGGTCCACTGACGAACCGTTCGTCCTAGCCAATGATGTGGCATAGGTTATCTATGTGAAGGACATGTCTACCAGACCGAGAAAGAGAAAAGATAAGGAAGCGAATACATCGTACGATGAGCCAAAGCGCGACATAGTTCTTTCAGGAAAAAGGGACATCGTGGGAGTGGAGGACAAGACAGACATGTCTGAAGATTATGAAAAGTTTCATGAAATTCCTCCCTTCAAAGTCAAGGCTGACCCCAACATCCTGATAAACGATGAAGATTATCCATGGTTACGGCGCAATAAGCAAATAACACAAGCGAAGAAAAAGTGAAGACTCTCTCCCGCAACTATTATGATGATACCATGCCAACTTTGTAACTGACGAGTATGATACCATTGTCCGTTTTGTACATGCACATGCTATGTGGGTCAATTTATGATACCATGCCAACTTTCAACTTTTTCAGAGTTCATTTGAAATGCTTTAATGTCTTATGGTCCGGCCCTCATAATAACTAAAAATAGCAACAATAAGTATTTTGTTGTAAGTAGAAACAAAATAAAATAAATAAAGCAAGAAAGAAAACAAAAAAACAAAAAAAGTGTTTTCAAATTTGAAAACTAATGGCACTAACAGAAAGTTTATAATTTTCCTAAAACTAAAAGCAAAAAGAATTGAAAAATAAAGCAAAAAACAAAAGAAAATAAATAATGCAGAAAACAAAACAAAAAAACAGCAATAAGTATTTTGTTGTAAGTAGAAACAAAATAAAATAAATAAAGCAAGAAAGAAAACAAAAAAACAAAAAAAGTGTTTTCAAATTTGAAATCTAATGGCACTA